TCTGTGTCGGCGTCTTGTTGATGCATGGTCTCGCTGATGATCCGGATGCGCAGGAAAGAGGAGCTTCTTGGACGTATCGGCGTACTGCGTCGCTGCCCCAGCAACCGATAAGTTGCACGGTCTCCAGGGGATATCCCAGTCGTGTCAAGAACTGAGATCCAGAGACTCTGCACACATGTTCGTTGAAGCGATGTAGAAGCTGTCCCTGGGGATCGGGTCTGGTGAGCTCGGCGCCGGTGCTTGCGATGGCCTTTCGGAACACTTCGATGGTCTCCAGGTGCGTGATGGGTCCGCCTCGCCGTCCATAGAAGAGGTACTCGTCATTTCTGTCGGTGCCCGGGCGATGGTTGCGCCGAATGAATGTGTCCAAAGCATGGTATGGACAGAGGGCCGCCAAGTTGTCGGAACATGTGCATGGGCGCGACCGTGTAATACACATACCAATTGTGTCTGTTTTGTGACAGGGGAGCGTGAAGAACGCCAACCTGCCAAAGGCGGTGGTCTCGAACCAAACGTTGGAGAACCGAGCTGCTGCTACTTCGATGCCCCGAAGCATCCACCAGCAGCAGATGATGGTAACGAGGACGCAGTCGTAGAGGTACTCTGCCCAATGGTCTTCCGCTGGTGGTGGTGTAGTGGAGCTGTCCGTTGTGGCTGCCAGGTCCTCGACAATGAATGCGTCCTTGAGCGTTGATGGGCCTAGACCCCGCTCGATGCTCCTGATGGACATGGTGATCTGCTGCTCGATGTCCGCGGAGAGTCTGCATCCGGTGTGTGCGACATGCTGCTGTCTTGCCATACTGAAGACTTGTGCCGAGGAACGGTATCTGCCTCGCTTGAGGCTGGATGCGATGGCCTGGACGAGCTCTGCCGTGATCGGGAGAGGCGGTAATTTCCATGATGTAGCAAGGCGAGTCCAGAGGTTCCATCTCGAGTCCCGCGTGTTGCGGGTGGTGTTGGCGTACTGGTCCCTCACGAGGTTCTGGATCGCCTCCTGTTGTACTGCTGGCGCCGCCGCCTCCAATGCCCCGATGATGGATCCCCTCGTTGACGATGTCACGACGCGTAGGTCTCTACGTCCGCGTGTCCTGATCTCTGTGGTGTGCTTGGGGATGGAGCGTCCCAGCAGGCCTCAAGGTCTCGTTGTTCTGGTGCTATAATTAAGACTTGCTCTGGGGTGAGGCCGTTCATCTGATCGATGTTGCGGACGCCCTGGTCCACCAGTCTCGGAGCCAGGTGCGTGAGGTCAGCAGCCCTGAGTTGTGCCAAGACGTCTCTGAAGGTGGTCACGGCGAACCTATCAATCCTATGGAGATCCTACTGGTGATCTGGATCTTAAGGGCCATAACCGCCCGTCTATGCCATAACAGTCAAGCATGATGAGTATGCAAGTGGGACATGTCCGACATGCTATGAGGTACCTCACTTTTTCGGTGAGGTGTCGAGGCTCTCCTAGGAGCTGTCTCGGATGTTCTAGGTGGGCCCATTCATGGGCCAGACATGGTGCATATCCGCACTAGAATCGACTAAGCGGATGGTGGCCGCCTTTGTAGCCCCAGCTTCGCCTAGGCGATAATCCCAACAGGGGTACGGCTCAACATGGTGAATGATTGTCCTACTAGGGACCCTCGCCTAGGCGGAAATCCCATCCTGTAGGCTCACTCAGGTCTCCATTGCTAATGCGCTCCGCTTGGCGGCGCTCCGGAGTCTGCCCGCCGCATGGTCCTCGGCGAGGCGGAGGCGCAAGTAGGTGAGCCCCAAAAATCTGCAGAAGTCCTTCTGCGTCAAGATCTGGGTGACTCCGGCTTCATAGGTGTACGTTGTCATGTCATAGTACGGCGGGTCGTTGAGGTACTCGACGAGACCATAGTTGCGCGCGGTGTCGTGGCTGTTGAACTCCTCCCTAAAGAACTTGTCGGGGTACCTGGAGGTGGGAAGGAGGTCCAAACGGTATGGTGGGTTCGCCCCACTGACGTTGCGCGCGTTGATCTCCAGGATGCTGTTCCTGGGCCATGTCTCGCGGACGAAGTAGGGAAGCGGCTGGTTCTTGTTCGCGACGTCCTTGAGGGCCTCTGTGATGAATTGGTTGAAGTCGTCGCGGTCGGTGATCTCCTGCTGGATGTTGAGGATTGCCAGCTTGAGCTGCTGCAACAGGCGATCCTCGTCCTTCTTCTCCCACTCCGTGAGGTAGAGGAAGTAGCTGGTGTTAGCACCCTGGCTTGGCTGGTGCACCTGAGCTGCTGTGCCCCTGTGGATGTTGCCAGGTCCGTGGTGTCAGGTGCGGCCACGATGAGCGCCTTCTGTGCCGGGACGAGGTCGGACTGCTGAATCCATGGGCGGTAGGCGTTGAGGCAATGTGGACAGTTGCACCGTCCATGTTGATCCTTGATGGGGGCGAGCGGTGATATTTTTCGAAGCCAGTGCTTGTTGTCCACCACGGCCTGGCAGCCGATCTTCCTGCATATGTAGTGTTGCTGCATGGTGTCGGTGATCTTCGAGGCCCACTCGGTGAGGTGGTTGTCCGCCTCGATGCGCTGGAAGAAGGCGTGGCGATCCCAATCCGGGTCCAGGGCCGACTTGATGGTGTCCTCGTCCCACTCTCGGAACGCTGCCATGATGCGCGCGCGGTCTCCTTCTGTTGAGCTTAGGATGTCCACGGTGAAGCGGTCAACAAGGGCCAAGATGCGTGCCCGCACCTGTGCACGAACTTCTGCCTTGTTGAGCCCCGGGTGTTCTTGATGAATCTGCTCGGATGCGGCTGTCCAATAGGTGTTCCGCAGACGATGTTGCTCCCCTGCTGCACGGCGTCTGATAGTGATGACTTTCTGGCAGAGCTTGTAGAAGGTGT